TGATATGATATGTAATGTTAAAATTAGACTTTATCAAACCTCACTCTTATGTATTTAAAGCACTCAAATATTCTTTAACATTTAATGTTAATATGAATACACTAGTTACTCAAACCTTAATTCTTTACGAGAAAGAACATAAATTTTCTTACTAAACATCAAACCCTTGAATATTCAATAAACAAATTTGCATTTTAAGGTTTTTACATAGAGATTAAGAATAACAAATGGGTCACTTTTTTAACATCATTCTCTCAATAAATTTATTACTTTAATAGTGTCAATTGAATAATTAATGAATGAAAAAATTAAGAAAACTTATGCCTTTATTTTATATAATAAGTGTGAAAAAATAAGTTTCAAAATAAGTGTTATGTTAGCTTTTCAATGCAACATTAGTTACTTATGCTTTTTTATTTATTTACACTCATAATAATATTATATACAAAGTATGTTTTGTGTTACATCATTTCTAGCAAATAAAATTAATTATAAAATTATTATTTTCTTTCATATATTTATTAATTTTTTTTTGTCTTTATAAAATAACAAAATACAACACATATTATATTGAAGAGAGAGAACATCAATTATTTTGGAACAATTTTTAAATGCTAAAATTACAATTATTTTGAGATGAAGAAATCAGTTCACAAGAGGAGAGAGAGATTTTCTTAACAAATTTACCTTTATACTTTCATAATTTTAAATTCAAACATAATAAAAATATTTTAAATATTATACTTAAAAATATCTTAAAACTTGTTTTTCTCTCTTCCAAATCTCCCTAATATCAAAAGAAAACTAAAACAAATTGAGCAGAGAAGTTTATAAAAAGTCTTTTCTCTCTTCCGAAATACTATGTTTACGTAATGTTTCTGGAAAGATTTCTCAGGTAACAAATTAGTTGCGTCGATAAATGTTTTGCCTCATTATTCACTAAAATCAAAGTGAGTCAGCCGCTATAAAGATGATAAAGTGATACTTTCAAATCCATATTCAAAACTCAGAAAATACAAATTCTAAATTTATAAAGTGATTAATATCATAACATTTAAAATGTCGATTTCTCAAATAATATATATAGTTTTAAGTTCGAATATTAATATGACCATCGTAATTTCTACTGTCAAAATAATTTAACTTGACTTTTTTTTTTAATTATTAGAACGACGGCAATAAAAAATTCAACCAAGTTATCATATAACTACACTACACCTGTTCCCAACTACGAAATCAATCTGATTGATTTGATCTTGAATAACATTTGTTTTTAAAAAAATAGAAATAAATGTTCTCTTGCCGTTGATCAGAATATCCAAGAAACTCACATAATTTCTTCGTATCAAATGAAATAAAAAAAGAGTTAATTATTCATAGTATAAAGTTTTTTACACTGGTAATCAATCATATATTTTAAATTATTTTATTTTACTTATATTTAATTAAATGAGCAAATGACATAACACTATTAAGATATATGATTGATTGTCAGTGTAAAAAATTTTTTACACTGACAGTATATAAGTGATTAACTCATAAAAAAAACCTACCGTATCGATTGTTTGATCATGCGCTTCTCATTTTTATATATATTTTTTATATTTATAAAAATAGAAAAATCAAAAGTGTAATTTAACTTTTATTTTAGAAAAATAAATAAAGAAAAATCTCAGTGCTTCTCCAATACACGGTGAAAGGACATGATGCATAATTAATGGACAGTTACATCAGCATATGCATGAACATGTTTGGAAATGGCACACTCAAATAGGCCAAGTTGGTGTATGTGACTTGACCAAGTTGAACAGAAGAGATCCATTGGATTCTGCTTCCCTAACCAAAACATAGCTAGGTACACATAACCTTAATTAACATTATTATTACATTAATGTTTCTGTCTCAACATCTTATATATATAACCTCCACACCCATCTCAATCTATAATCCTCTCCCTCACTCTCTTAACCCTTAATTAATGACTCCACCAAGTTTCACAGAACAGATCTATCTTTGTCTTGCAATTTCAACACTGCTGCTTTTCTATGTCTTTCTACTAGCCTTGGATTCACCTTGGACCAAGGATCCAGTTTCGTTCATCATGCAAGATTGCACCTTCCCCTTTCTCACAGAAACTACTATGTTAACAACTCACAAGAAGAGGGACTCAACACTGAAAAAAAAAAAAAAAAAACTGAGGAAGCCATAGATTTGAGATGTGTTTCGGATTCATGTATATTGTATACTAGTTCTTTTTTCAACTCAACTGATTAACCTCTCCTAATTTTCTCTTGGTTATCTTTGTTTACTTCTTAAGCATGTAATTAGAACTTCTATTCTCGGATCCATGTGTATAAAATAATATTTGTTGAAAGAAGTTCATCTCTTAAATAAATCTTTACACATACTTTCAAAGATTAGTCTTTGATTCTAGCCGGTCATATCTTGAGGAAAAGAAAAAGTAAAAATCTTGGTTTACTTCTTATGTTATCTGTAATGGGTGTGAATAACACAATATGTATATGAACTTGCTTCATTCAATTCGGGACTACTTATTTATCCAATTGTCTTGTTAATTATGTAACTATCCATGCTAAGAGAAGGAGTTTCGGATCAGTTTTTCTTAATTTATACAATAATATAAATCATGCACAAGAGGTATATGCACGTTCGTGTATATATAGTATGTATCGTACAACCTTCATGATGGAGAAGGTTAGGATTCCCAAGTATGATTCCATCACTTCATCTCTAATTATCATTACTTAACCGCTTCTAAAATAACACTTGGTCCTCAATCCTAAGACTTGGACACAAATTTTTAACGCCAGCATTCAAAGACATAACTTGAATACTGCAAGGTAATTGTTTTGATAGAGTAACTGGTTAGTTGAAGATATTGTATGCTACGATGTGATGACATAGCGGGATTAACAAACGAAATTTTGATTCTGAAAACGCACGACATCCAAGTTCTAATAATAGAATTAGTTATTGTTGAAAGAAAAAGGAAGAAATTCAATAGATAGTATGTTTTTGAGCCTATGATAATGTACTATTTTTTTATTAATATATAATCAAACTTCGAATCTAGTACTTAATATTACGCTAATGTTGAAAGATTTATTCATCTCACGCAAAGTATTATTAATAATGTCACGATATTACTTTAATGTTTTGAAAGATTTATGGTTGTAGATATTTCTATTATATCTTTCTTTAATGGATTTTAGTTTGGACTTTAAGTCTCTTCTTAGAAGAAAAAAAAGTCTTTCTAGAAAAACACAAGTGATAAAATTAGTAGAAAATATAATTTGATAGAGCAATCACAAGAGAAGAGAACAAAGAATATGGTGGAAAAGGAAGTACAAATGTGTGATTGTAAGAGGAAAGAGAGGGTGATATTGAAAAAAGTCTAAAAGAAAAATAAAAAGGAAGCAATCGTAGGTTATGTTATATAGTTTAAATTATTTGTAAGATTCTTCATTTAGTCAATGCTTTTAATATTTTACAATTCTAGGCCATATGGGTGGGTCTAACACTCGCAAGCTCCAAGTCAACAATTTTGTCTTCTTTAAGCTAGGATCCTCTTAACAACTTCACCAACCAGCTTCTCAAAATCCAAAGCCATTGCAGACAGTCTAATTAATAATGTGGCTATAGTTTCATTCAGCACATTATAGTTGTAGAATATTTTCACCTTGCATGTCATTCGACGGAATAATTCTATTATATGACGAAGTAGTAGCAGTTTGTTTGGAAGACTACTCGCTAACCGAGATTGAGATGCAACCCAAAAAATAATCTTGACGGTTTCTGGTGTTTGGTAGCACATTAAAACTATATATACTACTAGGAAAAAAAAGTACTTCTTAAAAAAATAACATAAACTCATTTATAAAATACAATAAAACAAGTATTATGTTGCTTACTCTTAATTTGCTCTACAATTACCAATCTCTTAATATGATTATTAAATTAGATTGCAAATCGTTAATAAATCAGATTCATAATAAGAAAGATATTTTTGAGTGTAACATAATTCTTAATTAAATTAAACAAATTATAAGATTTGTTCTTTCTATTATTATTCAATATAGTAGAAGAGAAACTAATTTAGTAACTCGTTCCTTAATTTAAAATTCAATTTTGTTTGATTATGAGAATACTGATAATAAAATTTTCAATTGTATTCGAAATATACTGTTTTAATAGAAAGAGTAATGTTTTTAATTATTTCTTTAGATGACACGTGTAACTGAAGCAAACACGCATGAAAATATTGAAGGAATTGAGTTATGTTGTTAGAGTGATAAGATACTTGCAACAATATTTTGATCCATACAACAATATTATTATATCTCCATCTCATCATTTACTATATTAATTTAAGAATCGAGTATTTTGATAATATTTCAACGATATGACTCTAAATTCAAGATAATTAGACATTTGTATTTCTATGTAATCATGTAGGTAATAGACATTTATTTGTATTGCTGTTTGGTCTACAATGGCGTCGACAAATATCTCAACCACTATGCTTACCTGGATTCCATTTACTTTTATTTCAATATATATATATATATATAAATAAAAGAAGAGTTCAAACGACACCAGTGTAACTTTTACTAAGAATTACACTGCTTAATAACTTTATATAAAATTAACATAATATATTCATCTTAAAATATACTAAAATATGAAGACTTTGATTACCTTTGATTTGTTATTCAATTTTAACAAAATTTGATATACACATATGAAGTGATAAGAACTTTCAATCTAACAGTTCAATTTACAAAATTTACAATTAATATAAAATTATTGAGAAGTGTAACTCTTGGTAAAAATTACACCGATATCGTTTGAACCCTCCTCTATATATATATATATATATATTATATATATATATATATATATATTTCGCATATGTTATACCTTTACAAAAAAAGAAGAAAAAAAAAACCGAGCAAGGCAAGTTCAATGTTGAATTTAGATTAAGCTTGCGTCAATAGCACATGTTACATATCCAACAAGAACCAGACACAGTTCACAGGTGCTATAAATTTGAGTGATAATAGTATGGTATTTCTCTCAAAACAAAACAGTCCCTTAATCGACGACAGTTTAATAAAAGAGAAACCAATCAACAGAGTGAAGGTGCAAGAGATTTACTAGAAGAAATCAGGACACAAACAAGCATATTTGTGTTCATCTCCAGCATGGGCTGTATACGATATTCAGTTACAGAAGCCTGTTGCATAAACCCCATACGTAAATTTTAAGATAAAACATTATATACATTAAATTGGGATGTATTCAATAGGAGCAAGGAGGATAAACCTTTCTTATGTGACTTAACCCCCTTTCACATTAAATAGCCTTACAAAAAGGAGCCGGCATATGATATAACGTTTTTGTAACAACTCCATTGGCCCTTAGGCAGAAGACATGTGTTTCAAAATGAAGGTCCAAGTTTCATCGACGGGGTTGATTGCACATCTGGCATGTGGTGGCAGATCTAACATTCGCATAGGTACAATGTTCACAAGACCAATGATTATCATCAGTCATTCTGTTGGGTATGCTAGCCCTAATAGTAGCTTTTCCTCTTCCACCTCTCCCCTTGCTGCTCCCTGCACCATTTTTTGAGCTCGTTGCTTTGCTGGAAGCAGCTCCATTACTGTCCACATCAGACAAACCATTCTCTAATGCCCTCACTAAATTCTCGAAGTAGTTTCTAGTCACACTGCCAAACCAAAACAAATGAATTAGAAAATCAAACCACAAGAGTTTGGACAAGATCAATACTCATGTCGTGGATATGCCATATTCAGTATAACCAACTGCATACCGAAACCAAAGTGATAAACTAAGACTCTAAAGAAACATTGTGGGTGGGGGGGTTCCCCAGAATCTAAACACAAATAATGGATTTATTGGTGTATCAGTATCAGATGTGTAACAGACAAAATGTATTTTTTCTCATCATGATATTCCTACTTGAGGCTGTACCTTTACCACAACTATTTCCAAAATAAGATGTGTTCATAGCATGTCTTTTTGTCAAGGAAACTAGAAAACATAACCAATTTAAGGTTAAACTCAAATCAGAACCCCAGAAATTCATAAATAAATAAATAAATAAAGAAAGCTGCAAGGAAAACTCAACAAAACAGGAACAACTTCTACCTGGTCAATCCAGCTAGTTTGGTGCGAAAGTCATTGAATTCTCTAGATGGGCCATCAGCATTGAGGAATAGCTGTAGTTCCTTTTCAGCACATTGATGAAGTCTCTCCAAACCAGATTCTGCCTCACCTGGCGGAAGCAAAAAGTATCGTTTGTAGGGCAATGCCACAAGTGCAAGACATTTCAAATTAAAATTCAAGTTGACAAATAAAACCTTGCAAGTACTCAAAGAACTGTTTTTTGGCATGTTCATGCTCGGGTAAGTAGAATCCATATGCATATGTCCATTTCAGCACCCTCCTGCATTCAACTATCTGCCAACATGAAATAGAAATTAGAAAGTCCTCCATTTTTCAACGGTCAAACATTTTCATCAATGGACCAGCCTCAGAAAACAGTTCAAGCAACATCCCTCGTGCCCAAGGGGACAGGATCATAAAAAAGACTACTCAGTCCAAAAACATGTGGAAACATCATAAAACAAATCTTAAAATTTTCCAATATATCATATCAAGTCCAAAACAATAAAATAATCATTTACCTGTAACCAGGCCTCCGTTATGAACTTAAGCTGGGATTCAGGCTGGCATTGTGTGTCACTAAGCTTCTCAATCTGCGATAGGAAAAAGGGATGATTACTAGACAAATTTAAAATTCCTAGAAGCAGATAGTTAGCTCTACTTAGAAGCAAGAAAATGCCAGCGCAATCTAGCAACAGGTATATTTTGTTATTTTTCCAGGTTAGAAAATACTATGACAAGGCCTAGTTATTTTTAGTCAGTTTAATTATGTTAAAAAATTATTCCAAGGTTCAACTGTTTATTATTATTGTACAATGAGTAATTAATATTTTTACTTTCCAGATTTATTACATAAAAAGGAAATTTGAAATTTGCAATTTCATATTCCATTATTCCTGAAAGTTGCAAAACAAGCTTCAAAAACAGATTAACCTACTGCTTTAATATTTTTTTTTTCTATTTTCCTTATTTATTAACAGGAAGAATAAGAGAAATTAATATTTGCAATTTCATACTCCATTATTCCTGAACATAGCAAAACAAGCTTAAGAAATCAGATTAGCTTAGTGCAGAAAATGCTCTTTCACTTCTGTTGTCAAAATCACATGCAAGCTATAGCATGAAAATTGGAAAGAGGGGGAAGGAGAAATGGTGGGTGGTAAACACAAAAAAACGTATGTAACATACATGAACAGTTTGCATCTGATGTAGATCTGCAAGAGCTTTTTGCCTTGACTGCAAGAGAAAGAAACAGGAATTAATCATACACCCTTAAACCAAAGGAATTCTAGCAAAATAAAATTAAACAGTGAATCTAAAAATTGTAGATAATTCAAAAAATCAGAGATATATGATACTGAACAGAAAATAGTATGAAGTTATGCGTACAGATTGGTTGCTGGCCCACCGCTCATAATAATGTGTGTACCTCTCCAACGAATTCTTAGCCATTTCTCTTCTTCTTTCAGTTTCATCATACTACATGTAACAAGATTTAGTTCATAAGCAGATATCATTATCAAAATATATGTTGGGAAGGGTGTGGGATAAAGGTAGCCTGAAACCTGAATCAAGAGTAGAGTATCCCTGTCGCTTACCACTCCCTCTTGTTTAGCCGTCTCATATCGATTGCAAGCATAAAAACCACCAGTCCTTTCACCATGGTCTGACCATGCACCAAGGCATAGCCTGTGTAGATAAAAATACATCAAGTTCAGTAAAATTGAAAATTATGTAAGCCACAAATCATTTTAAAGGCAGAAATACAAACATAACCTTCACCCAATGAAAGAGAGAAAGAAAAGGAAGTTTGCAAAATAATTGTATGGGAAAAAAGAAACATACCAGCAAAATTCAAATTTACAAGGTGGAGTACATGTCATATGCATGCACCCTTGGTTTTTCTCAATTGGTCGCTTGCACTTGGGACATGGCTTAGAGTTAGCAAGTATCCTGAAAGTCATCAAATTAAAGTTAGCTCAGGGCCTCAAGTCTCAAGTCTCCAAGGAATAATGTTGTAGCAGTGTATATAATGGAAAATGGCTATCATTAATCAAATCACAATTCAAATCATGAATCAAGAAGCAAAATTTTTTGAACTGTGAATTGTAAATTGCATCAAATCATAAGATTCAGAGACACAATGAAAAAATAGCTTAAATATACTACATAAATGGAGTATAGTTAGTAATTTTGGCAAGGAACTGACCACAAAACAACTTAAACATCAATCTCAGAACAAAATCATAATTCATTGTTGAAATTAGGAGGATCTATGTAGAGAATGAAAAATAGAAAAATTATAAAGCAAATTCACATTGATTTGATGTGAAAGATGTGATCTAAAATATAAGGCACTGACCCCTACGCATACATGTGCTAGACTCTTAAACCTAATCAAATCAAATAAGGAACGAATCACGAAATATTAAAATATGAAAGTCAATCATAAGAGATCACCAAAAATATTGTACAATATTCTAAGAATTTGATATTATGAGATATTTTTCAGATACTCTTAACTCACAACTAGTAGGTAACCAACAAGTTGTGCTAGTCTGAAATCCAAAGTTTGTTCCCATGCTCTGTTCTCAAGTACAGTTAAGGGCAAATTAGCAGAATAGATTACTAAAATAGGTTTTCTTTACAGATACTAATGTGGAAACTGCACATCTGTCTTATTTTTATTTTTTATGTCTAGAGTCTTTTAACTTCATCATATCACATCGAGTCATCTTGACCCAACAGTGCGGCCCATACATTTCAAAAAAAGACCCACAAGCTTCCCAATTTTTGAACTGTATTAAACAATATACCAATTTGTGCAGCAATTTCAGCCGCCATGTGATTAGCTCTTTGATTTGTATCTTTTGCATCACAAAGTCACATTGAATCATTTGATACAAATCATGAATAACACAGCTTCTATATCTATGAACTTCACTGTTTAGAATAGTGCAATACATGAATATTCCTAAATTAAGAACAAAATAGGTAAGGTTCTAAACAAAAAAAATGAATAAAGTCAACACATAAGTCCATTGTTTTATTGGTTACATTTTTTTTCAATCCTTCAAATGAAACAAGGGATTCACACTCCTCCAGCTATCCCTTAACCTGATTGATGTATAAAAAAATTCAACCGTTAAAAGTTTTTCCATTTAAAGTGGCTTTTAAACAATTGCAGAACGTTCTCCAGTTTTGTTATGTATACACATCACAGAGCAATCAATTAACTTCAAAATTAGTTTTCCAGTTTCACACAAGTATCCTTCACTATCCATGTCTAGGACCATATGTAATCCTTGGTCAAACATCCGCTGCAACAAAACAGAAAATTTTTACATCCTAGATCTTACACAGGTCCAGCAGGAGACATCAGAATCACAAATTTCATCAGCTTCAACACAAAAAATAACAGATACATGCATTCATACATATTGGAAAAAATACAAGCAAGTATGAATACACACATATAATAAGGCATCCACAGAGCTAGAGCCACTGAAAACCAGCCATAAAACAGCAAACTCATTGACCTTCTTATAAATTAGGCATAAAATCAAATACTATAATATGTAACGACAACTAAAACAGGGACAAAAAGTACATCAAAGTAGACAAAAGTAACATGTCCCAAAGGAATATATGCAAGAAAATAATAAATACAGATATCAAAATATATTCTATATACCAGTTCATGTTTTCAGATTCTGCGCTGTTTTTCAATATCCACTTTGCCACAGTGCCACAGTCCACTGGACGGTGAGCTTCCTCGGTGCACTGTGGATCCAAATACACATGTTAGAAGAACAGGAACATTCTAAAATGCAATGATATAACCATCTGAAACAATCCATATATTACTTACATTCCAGCAAAAGCTATATGAACAGAGGCAAGATACATCATAATTTCCACTGCCAGCATCAAAAGTAACTGCATACTCACATCCGGGAGCAGGACACCACTTGGTCTACAGAAACAGAAATAAGTTAATTATGACAGTTAGACATTGAGATATAGAGAAATATTTCAAAAAAATATACATGTATATTAAAAAAAAAGGTATAGGATTGCATCTATAGCCATAACAATAATGATGATGATGATGATGATGATGATTTAAATAAGAAATGTAGGGTAGCACCTCTTGTTAACTAATGAACTGGTTAGGAATTCATAGCCATGAATACCCAGGTAATAACTAATAATATTGTGGCTGACACTCAAGTCAATGTGCGGAGAATTATGAATGCATAAATTGGTGCAGAAAGATGATAACGAATCAAAACAAGATTGCACTTGGTGGGGCAAAATAAGTATATATTTCTTTAATATCATTATCAATGTCCAAATTCAATAGACAACATACCTTTTTATTGTCTTCAATGTATGACCTAATAAGGTAACGGTCATACTTCTCTTTATCTTCGTCAGATGCTAAAAGATTAATCATATCTTGACCAACAGCAGCACCACAAATGGGATCAGGACATCTAAGCCCCAAACATCCCGGTCCATCGTTAATTGAAGTGCTAATATATCCTGGCATGACAATAACAATAGAAGAACATGATTTAACACAAAAAAAAAAAAAGACAAGAATATTAAATGATACATGTACTGGGACTACATCATCCAAGAAGAAAAAGAAAAAACAACAGAGCTATGAATGACATATTAAAGATGAAACAAAGAACAGAATGACGGAACACAAATAATACCTGCCCAGCATGAATAGCAGTAAGGATGACCACAAGAAGCAGATTTAACCCGTGAAGGAAGATATTTTTCAAAACAGATGCCACAAGTAAGCTGAACACAAGAGGAGAAAAATTGTGAGATAAGTGAACTAGTGAAGTTCAAATGATGCCCAAGCAGCATAATGCAAGATAACAATTCAACATTCGTTGAGCTGTTTTAAAAGCCAAACAACTATGTCTCACCTCTCTAGAATTATAATTCTGGAGAACTGGCTTCTCCAACAAACCAACTGTTTTTCGGACTTTTTCCTCATCAACGAACCAAGCATCATGCACCTTACTCACACTCCTGCATCACCAACTCATCTCCCCTTTCAGTATATGAGTATACAATAAAAAGCCAAAACCTTACATATCATACAAGGCAGCATCAAAACATACATACACACACAAAACTGCAACAGCAAATTAACCAACACAAGGACAAAAGAACACGAGCTTACCAATTGTAGTGACGAAGTAGGATGCTCGCAGATTCCCGCGGTATGGATAGAACTGTCGCTACTCTATCGATGTCATCTTCCTGCCTTCGCCGGATATCCGATTCCTTCAATATGGTAAAATTTTGCTGAAACCCAAACAGTGATCCGTCAATCAGAGAGAAACAACAACACGATTGCAATAACAAACAGAGACACTTGCAAAAACATATCTCTTCAACAAAGAAATACAGCACCCGCGATCATATCAATACCACAACCTAGAGTTTCCATTTTATCGATTATCTGGCCCTCTTTAAAAATAGCAAAGACAAAAATAATTGAAAAATTAAAACCATCTTCATTCTTCACCGCTCAAACCAACCTCCTCTCAATTTGCTCCAATAAATGATTACCGCTATTATCAATATTATTATCAACATATCAGTTGAGCACATAGTCGTGCCCTACCAACCACACACGCACACACTGACACAGTTCCAAAATTCATTAAAAACCAATCACGCATCGCAAAGCTTCGTCACTATCCCTTCATCTCTCCACAGCGATGCTCAAGTCCAATTACAAGTCTCCTCCACTCAATTCTCCGAAGTTGGCAAAAGCGAGCAGGAACAAGAACGTTGACAGCTCGAGAACATAAATTCCGAAAGCGACGATTAGCATAGAGAGGGAATTGAAAAGAAAAAAAGCGAGAATCGAAGGGAGGTACCTCGGGGCGGCGAGACTCAATCCGGTCGGAATCGGGGTCGTCGTCGAGGAAATCATCGGGGTCGTCGTCGTAGTCACTGTAGTAATCCATGGGAGCATCCTCGGTCTCGCCACTGTAGAAATCGTCGTCGAGGGACTCGACGTCGTTGGCGTCGTGCATATCATCCTCGGAATCCATGGGAAACCCTAGAGGATGGGGTCGAGGGTTTGGAATTGGGGAACGATCGAAGCGATTCAGAAAATCTAGGGCACCGTGACCAGGATTAGAGAAGAAGGTGAAGGAGGACCAAAAAGTGTATTGCTTTATGCTTCTCTTCGATCCTAACTAACGAGACCTTTGCAAATTGGAACAATAATATTATGATCATAAAATACAATATTTCTTCTTTATTTATATTCATAACCTAATTCTTTTCTTCTTCTTTATTTATATCTATAACCTATATTTATTATAACGGATCAAAAGATATTTTCTTCTTCAACTTTATTTTAATTTCTATTTTTGATAAGATTATTTAATTTTTTAAATTAAAATTTTCATACATTATTTTTTTATTATAAAAAAAAAACGATATAATTTTTTTCTTTTTATATATATTTTATTTTTCATCCTACTGCAAAATCTTCATCTTTTTTTTATTATTATACTGGATACATGATTATTATTTTTTATTAAAAATAAATTGAGAGATTAAATACTTTGATCCACTAATAAATAAATAAATAATAATAATAATATAAAAGATGTATTGAAATTGTATCTGTGGCAGGTGGGAGAGGAATTAATGGAAAGAAGCAGGGAAGGAAAAGGGTTTAATAGAGAAAGTTGGGCTAAATTGGAAGCTGCCCAAAAAGTTGTTGGGATCAAACTACAATTCAGATCGTTTACTAAATTATTTTTTACATTGCAAGACCTAAAAGAAATTACTTTTTTTTTTTTTGAAGAGACGGAGTAAAGTATCTAATGTATTTTATAAGTTCAATTGAGAATAAGTATAATACGAATTATAATAATTTTTAGTTAATAATAAACTAATGTAAAGAGAAAAAAAAAAGGTGAGAGTGAGAGGAATTTTTTTAGCAAAAATATTATTAATATTTCTCTTATTAAATTTATGTGTTTCCTAAAATATTGTGTGTGACATGATAACAATCAAAAGTCTCATTCATATATATAGTTTTTTGTGTTATTTACATGCATCTAATGATGTTTTTTAATTAATACTGTTAATTGACTATCATTGTATGCATAATATTGTGGTAGTTCTTAAATTAGTGATGAGAAATGTATATTTCTAGAATTAAAATGTAGTTCAAGATAAATAACAACAATAACACTCATATGTAACGATATTTCGAAGTTTGAGTTAATAAGAGTTTAAATAAAGAAATACTTTTTCTACTCATAAAAAATAATTATCTTATTTATTCATTAGTTAAATATTGTAGGGTAGGTGATGGTTGCTCATTATTGTCATTAACAAATTATTGTCACCAGTAATACCATGGTAATCTATGAAATAATAGTGAGGAATGTGATATTTTATCACATTCAAAATGTTGGTCATGACAAATGACATAATAATTTTGACCATACATAAAGATACCTTAACATTCAAGTTAATGAAAATTTAAACAAAGTAAACTATGATAACATCCTTTGAAATTTTGTAAAATTATACACAATCCTTTATTTTTACCTATACTATAACATTCTTTATAGGTGAACACCTCTCAATATTTTTCAAATAATTAAGGGGGTAATGTGATGTTTAATGAGATGCAATGTCATTTTATTTTAAACAATTGAAGGGAATTAGTCTATGGGAATAAAAAGTAGGGTTCATATACAATCTTACAAAAATTTAATGAATGTCAATGTAATTTACTCTCTAAATAAAGTAACAATAGTTAGTCTTATTCACAAATAATGGTTTTATGTGTTATTTTCAAACATTGAATGATGTAGAGTTAGTGAGGTTTGACCAACTAATGTCATCAATGGATTATCATCATATGGGTAGTATTGTGGAAGTTTATGAAATAATGGTACGGAATGTTGAAATCGCATGAGAGTCAAGATGTAGTTCACAACATATAACACAACAATGGTGATCACAATGCCTCAAATTTCATGTCAATGAAATTGTGAAATTATTTGCTATTTATAAGTATTAAATATTTGGTTAATTGATGTCATTTATCAATTGTCATCATACTAGTAGTATCATGGTAGTTTCTAAAACAGTGTTGAGGAATGTGACATTCTTATCAAAGTAAGATATAGCTCCCAATAAAAGACAAAAATGATGACCACATATAAGGATGCATGAATGTTTAAGATAGTAATTTTTTTTATCTATTAAAATTATAATAATAACATCAAGGTTCAGACCTACGATCTTATACATATTATTATTACTCTCAATCCCTTATTATTAGATTGACTTTAATGATTAAACAATTAGCGTTTAAACAAACTAATAAAAATCAAGGTGATTAAAAAACTAGTTGAATTGAATTAATTGTAAATTAAATTAAACTATGAAAAATGAATTATTTTTATTAAAAAAATAACTCAATTGTATTTTAAAATAATAAAAAAAATAAATAAATTTATAAAAACTAAACTATTTTTATCAAAAAATTGAACTTAATTACTTTTATAAAAAAAATTAAACTATTTGTAAACTTAATTAGACTATTAAAAAATGAATTATATATATATATATATATTTGCATTTTGAATATTAAAACCATATAATAATTCTAACTATAATAAATTTATATTTTTAAGCATATAAATTATTTTTTATATTTATAATAAATATTTTATATGTAATATAAGGATATTTAAAATTATTGATATATTTTAAAAATATTGAAATTCAACATAAAATAAAAATAAAAGATAAATAAAAGAGATAAAAGATTAAAAAATATCCTTAAAAACACTATGTTGAAGAAAATCAACTAATTTTTTTTATAAATAATCTTAAAAATACTTTTGTACAAAATAATTATTCATATATATATATATATATATATATATATGTGTGTGTAAAGAGAGAGAGAGAAAGACAAGAAAGAGTAGAGCCAACCCAAGAGTAAGATCTACAAAATCCTCGCTATACTTTTAAAAAAAATATTTTATATTAATATAAATATTTTATAAAATTCTATAATTTAAAAGTCACTGTTTACATTTTAAAAATTCACTTTAAAAGATTTATCTCTAAAAGATATACAAATATAATTATTTTCAAGATTCAAATTTTTATTTTTTTCTATCAAAATATATTATTATTAATTTTAAAAAATAATACCTTGAGATTTACTTGAAGCTTAATAATATATTGAACTAGTAGAGAGAAAAAGAAAGAAAAATATTATACTTTTTTCCATTGATAAATGAGAGTATTATATTGTTACTTTTCTATCATACTAATATATAATTTAATTTAATTTAAAATATTTAACTTAAAATTATTAAAAAATATTATTATAAGATCTTAAAATATCTATTATCTCTAATATATTAAAAAAAATAAAGTTTTGTCATGCAACAGCACATTTTTTTTTGTCAAAACGTTGCTAAATTATTATTTAATTTTTAATATATATATATATATAATATGATATAATTATTGAATATCTAATTTATATATTTTAGTCACTAAAAATTATATTTATATCACATATTTTAAATTTTGTCGGGTATTTCCTTAAGAACTAAATGATATGTTGTAAATTTAATAACTTCAAACTTTATTTCCTTAACAACATTGATTGACAACATGCATTTCCCTCTAATGCAAGTATTCTTTATTCAAATTGTTCATGATTATTTTGAATATGGAATATATATTGTTGGGAATAAAATATTTATCAATAATCACACAAACAAAATTATAAATTCTGCTTTTTTTTCTATTTAGATTAAATTTTATTACTTCAAACTAAATATGTCAAATAAGTATAAAATATATATATATATATATAT